TGTCATAAACGTGATAATTTCTTGTTTGGTAGAGGCTGAGTTTATGGAAGACGGCTCTGTAGTAATGAATTTCTTAAAGAAGAGTTAAGGCATACTAAATTAGCCTTGTGTTATATTCAGTTGAATTAGTTAATAGTACATACTGTGGCATAAGTTACTCTAAATAAATTTGTAACCAGTTGTTTTAAACTTTTCTAAATAAACTTTACTTCGTTCTACCTTATCATAAAAGTTTTGGTGAAAAGTTAAAAAGATTGCTTAATAATAATAAGGAATAACTCTAGGCTGGGTTTGCAAGTTACCGCGTGACTGTGGGAAATGCTACATACGTGAAACAGGCAACACTGCAACTCGAAGAATAATGACTTACCTGCCAAGCTGGGGAAGACAAGCCTGAACGATACTACGATAGCGTGTCATCTAAGAAAAAACCTCTCCTGAGTATAGTCAAAGAACGATGTGACAAGGACCCCCGGATTACATGGCGCAGCACAGGCGCGCTCGCTGTTTTTCAATGGTGTGTCCACATCGTCAAAGAAAATCACTGGTTGCACAGGTGTGTCAAGCAGTCATCAATTATTCAGTTGTCTGACAGTGTCACAGGTGAGAGGATACAACTCTGCGCATATCTGATGAGCCTAGCGAATCAGTGACTTCCAGTGCGGTAACTGTCTTCTGCAAGGCATGTTCGCAATAAGTGACAGCGTCACAGATGAAGTTCTCCAAAAAATATATTGAGAATACCACGAGTCTTCTCGAGGATACGAAGCTGATTCGTTTCACACCTCCGCGTCGTGCTAAACACCGTATTGCTGGCTTTGTTATTCCTTGAATATTATGCGCAAAACTGCGATGACGCTTCGCACTTCTCTTTCCAAGGCCTTTACCGCGTCCACTAATATTTTCTACTCAAACGATGGACCTGCAAAGGTAGAACGCCACTCAACAGCTGCATCTTTTGTGAATGCTTCCAGAAAGGAATGCGAAGCAATCATTTCCTGCCAAGCTGATCGACAGAAGGCCTAGGGGACGGCTAAGATTAACCAGGTGCAAATATATGGTCGGAGTTTGTTCCAGACTCCAGTTGTTTTTTGTCGAAGCTCAGACTCTGACACAAGATCAGTAACGTTTGAAGCACTGTCTGACCGGTCAGCCTCCGCGACCCGAAAGGAGAAGCGGTATGGAAAATGAAGGTGATGAATCACGAATCACAAGATTGTATTCTGTTTCCAAATGTACCTACTGCAGCCAGCAAAAACCTTTGAAACTAAGAACCTCTTGCTTGAAGAAGATTCGTGAGACACGAACCGAAACGTCGGTATCGGTCAGTCGTCCGACTGACTATATTTTTTTGTGTTCTATATTAACAAACGGTTTTATGCTGTTTTTCAGTATGAACGCCAACGCATGAAAGAATTTCTTCATCAGTGGAATGGAAAGTGATGATTTCTGCGAAATGCAAGTTGCATCAAGTGCAAAAGATGAGGGCGTATGCAAAACATTTTGTGGTGGATGAAAATTTTTTGATTCAGTTTCTGCACAGCTTGTAGCAGTGCAGAATTAACCGCTTTACCGGGGTATGAGTTTTTGTTTAGCTGATTATCGATATTTCTTCAAATCATTTATAAGTTATCGATAGACACTAGCATATTTTATCTATTCAGATACTTTATTTCTTGCTGTTACCTATGTAAAATCTTTTGCATTTGCTTCGGTCTGCCTCATAAATCGTCATTCTCTGTTCAAAGAGTGAACCGCTTTATCAGATGTGTCCTTCATGCCCTCTTTAGGCTGAATCAAAACGGACGGTGGCTCCGAAGCATTTAGTCTACGGTTTCATGTGGCCTTTTATTATAAAAAATTTCTTTAGATGGCATTAATGCCTCAGTCAGCCCCGATTACCAGAGCCTTTGAGCGGACCGTTTTCCGAGAGGACTTCACCGCTTTCATACGGACTCGGGAGTATGCCATTTCTGACGTGCTGTGTCGTTTGGGTTGTTGAACATCACATAAGATTTTTTGTAGTAGACCCACAACAGCGGACTGGCGCCGGCGTTTACTTCTGTCAACGTCATCTTAGCGATAGCAAATAGCCCGTATCGTATAAGTACACAGCTAAAGTCAAGTAACGCTATTACGTTGTGTATAGGCGTCAAAACGAACAAACTGA